AAAGTTTACAAATTCTATTATGTTTTTTAAAAAATTATTAAAGATAAAGAAATTATATATAATTTATATTAATAATAATTAAAAAATATTATTAAAATAGGAAATTTTGAAATTTAAATTAGATGTATACACATATTTAGAGACTCTTACATTAGCTTTCAATTTTTTGTCATATATAACAATTTTGAAATTTATTTTCTTGGGTGTCCAACCATATAAAAAAAATAGAGTTAAGTTTCACTAAAAAGTGAGTCATTACAACATAAAAGAACCAACTTGACTAAACTATATGTTTAACTATTAGCTAAATTACAAAAAATATAATGAAAGAAGATATAAACAAAGCCACTACAAAACGCTTTAATATTGAAAAAGAGACTGTAAAATCTCCAAAGCTTGGCCACCAAATTTGAGAAGAATGATAAATTTCAAACAATTCAAAAAACATGTCAAGTGATGATACTCGACACTTTTGAAAAACGAAGCACATAAAATAGCTTCTAAGTGTGTCCACATAGGATTTAAAAGGGCAATTTCATTGCTCCACATCAACATTCAAAATTAAGGAAATTTACATATTCTAATATTATTGCTGAATAAAGAAATTCTGTATAAATTTTTTATTGGTCCACTTCAACATTGAAAATTAAACAGCTTCTAAATTCTGTTATTATTTTTTAAAATTATTAAAGATAAAGAAATTATATATAAAATTTATATTAATAATAAACATACTAAAATAAATAATATTAAAATGGGAAATTTTAAATTTAAATTAGATGCATCACACATATTTAAAGACTCTTACACCAACATCCAATTTTTTGTCACATAACTATAATAATTTTTAAGGTTTTTTTTCTGTGTGTGCAATTATTTTAAATAATAAAAAACAAAAAAATATAGAGTTAGGTTTCAATTTTATTCGTATTTATATCAAAATTGTAAATTAAAAAAAATTCCCTAATTCTAATATTATGGTTAAGAAAATAAATTACAAAATAAAGAAATCTCTATTAACAAAAAAAAACCAACATGGTATTAATATAAATTTTACTATCTATAAACAAAAAAAAATCTATGCTACTTATACAAGTTTAAGTTACTTGATTTTAAAGCTTTTCACGTGGAATTTTAAATAACTAATAAATATAATTTTTATTCATCTAGATTTTTTTCACATATGCAAAATATATTTTCACATACTCTCATGTAATATATTATGCAAAAATGATCGTTAGATTTTGTATATTCAATTTGGAATTACAAAAGATTAATGTATAAGCTTTTTAGTTCGGAGTTGTTCAATTTGTTATTTTATTTTTCAAAATTTGTATGTATTAAATTATACCGGTTTTGTCTACTTAATTATAATTATAAGATATAAAAATAAATATGATGAAACTGAATATAATCCTATAAAAGCATTCAAATAAATAAATATGATATATATTTATTAAAAACAGATATAACAAGAATAAAAATAAATATGTTAAAAAAATTCATTCTTATTAGAAGGGATGACGTATAATTATTGGAAAATTATTTAAAAGTTTACACAACTAATTGACAAAAATATATTTAGTTCACAAATTTTGTGTGAATTTATTCATTTTATATTAACTATTATTTTATTCTCAAGTTATTAATCTCAAAGCAAATATTTTATTTATTAGTTTGTTTTTTCAATTAATTTATCAGAATAAAAATTTGTAATGGTTAAATAAGAAAAGGAAAAAAACAAATAGTTTGTTGGGGTATATTAATTTATAAGTGTTTGACCAAATAACACGTCTTTAAAATATGACATATTGTACATAGATTCAAAACAAAATCGTAAAAAAATTCACAATTTACATAAAAATTATTAGATTAACATCATAATATTTTTAATATTTTATTAAACGTTAATGTATAAAATTTGCATCTTAATAAATATAATTGATTGCATACTTTTATCATCAAAATATCAATGCGTAGCGTGGATGCAAGAATATATGTTTAGCTATTAGCTAAATACAAAGAATATAATGAAAAGAGATATAAACAAAGTCACTACATGCCGTTTTAATATTGAAAAAAAAAACTGTAAAATCTCCAAAGTTTGGCCACCGAATCTGAGAAGAATGTTAAATTCCAAGCGATCCGAAAAACATGACAAGTGATTGATACTCGACACTTTTAAAAAACAAAGCACTGAAAATAGAGAAAGAGGTTTCATCATTAAGACGAAAGAGACTGAGAAATCCGAGGAAGACTTTTGAAATAGGGTTGTTTTGAAAATAAGGACCTTTTTAAGTTTTAATTTGAGAAAATGGTAGTTTTAAGTTTTAATTAGTCAGAGTGGGGACATACTTACATAATGCCAAACTTACCCTTATTTCTGAGAGAGAGAGAGAGAGACAGAGCAGTCTGTTCCTTAGAGAGAGACAGACGCATAAAATACTGTGGGTCCCAGGCATAGTCTACGTCCGCGCGCGTAACAGCCGGGAAGAGAGCACTCACGCGCGTGATTGGATCGTTTTTTGGGCCTGATTTCGGTTTTTGGGAATGAAATTCCGAAAACCACCTTACTGGGCCTCTGTTATGGGCCGGAAACTACCCAACGCAAAACTGCCCTTCCTATTCTCTTTTGAATTTTGGCGGGAAAATTGAGGTTAATTAGAGATAATGGAGATAAATTGGTTAAAATAAGAAACAAAGTACCATAACCAAATTAGAAACCCTAGTTTCCCTTTCCAGAAGATGTTGAAATTGAAGGGGAAATTATGCGATGATCAAGAGGACAACAACCACGGTTAGTTACTTAATCCTATTATTGTACACCCATAGATTTTTCATTGTTATTTTCGAATTTTTTTCGGACTGGTGTCCGCTATTTGCCAGTAGTTTTTTAGATATGGTGTTCGCGAATTGCAGTGGATGCGTTCATTCTTATTATGGCGGGAACGTGGATAAGGTACTATACAGGAGAATGTGATTTCAAAATGGACATATCTCGTCGTGGAAGGTGCATAAATTGCAAAGATGTGTCCAGACCAGATGATTTGAGAAATCTGATTGCGCATGAGTTCGGATTAGACCCGAGAGTTGTTTCGGTGGAGATTTCCTACTGGTTTGATGATGTTCTAGCTGAGCTTAATGGTGATGGGAGTTGTCCATGTGTAATAGTTACTCCTCGAGAGTACAAATTCTTCCTTTCGCTGCATAAGTCTGACAAGTCTGTGAATTTATTTGTCACATTCAAGGAGTCAGTAAATGGTAAAATGGTGAGATTGAAACGAAAGGAAAGTCTTGAAGTTCAAATAGCGAGGGAACGGCGAAAGTCCTTAGGGCCAACAAACTTCATAGCCTCTTCTTCGGCAGAGTCTAGTCAACCCGATGATGAAGCAGATGATGAAGATATCGATGATTGTTTGCTGATAGCACATGCCGAGAAAGTAGAGGCAGAGGCCGCAATGAACACCTCCAAAGGTGTACAACTTGAAGTTGTCTCTGTTATCCATCCTCCATTGGGATTAAAAATGTCCCAGCAATCAGAGAAAGTAGAGGCTAAGGCCAGCACTAACACCTCCGTTAATGTAAAACCTGATGTTCCAAGTCACGCTGTCTCTGTTGACCACCCTGAGTTGGAATTAAAAATGTCCCAGAAATCAGACGAGGCGAGAGATTCGGAAGAGAAGGAAGCTGATGATGTTGACGATGACGCACACGGCTCTGATGATGATTATGATCCGGATTATGATTTTGACTGGTGGAATGATTACGTACTAGCAGATGGTAAGGGTTTCCATTCTAAACCTGGATTTGATGAGGATAAGGATGACTCTGGTAGTTCAGGGGGTTGTGGAAGTACTCGCGGAAGTGAGCCGAGTGATTCAAACCATATGGACAACTTCATTGTCTTAACGGAGAGTCCTATTCATTTTCCTGGAAGAAAGAGGACTGTATGTGAGAATGTTCTGGCTCCCCATGGGAATGATGATGATTTTGTGCAGACTCCGACAGGTGATGTCAGTTGGGGGCGTAAGAATGGTGGTGCAAAGCTGAAGAAAGCGATTAAACGTACAGAACTATATGGATTTCCGGATGTGGCACCAGTCTCTGATGAAATGGGAGGGGATTTCGATGAACTTGATTTGTCAAATGACGATGGAGAGATATGGGTTGGGAAAAAGTTCAGGAACAAGGAACACTTTAAAATCACGTTGGCCATCAATGCGCTGAAGAATATAGTGACGTTCGAATTCAAAAAGCATGCGAAGAAGTACACAGTCGCCGAATGTCCATCAAAGATATGTGATTGGAGAGTGTTGGGGTGTCAAGTTGGCGAGTCGGCGTTGTATGAGGTGAGGAAGGCGTGTTTGAAGCATACATGCCACCCGGATACAAGAAATAAATTTTCTAAACATGCTACTTCTAAAGTCATGGCGGCTCTGCTGAAGTCTAAGTATGAGAATGCAATAGTTGGTCCACGTGCGAGTCAGCTACCTGCGATTGTTCTCTCCGAATATAATATTACAGCCTCGTACTGGAAATGCTGGAAAGCTAAGGAGCTGGCTATATACTCTGCTCACGGAACAGAGGAGACTTCTTTCAAATTACTACCGATTTACCTCCATGTGCTCAAGTATGCTAATCCTGGCAACATAACGCATTTGATAACCGAGAGAGAGAGAGATGAAAAAGATGGAAAATGTATTACCAGGTTTAAGTCCGTATATGGCATTGGCTGCGTGTATATCTGGATGGAAACATTTGAAACAAGTAGTTGTTGTTGATGGGACTCACCTGACTGGTAAGTATAAGGGTTGTCTATTAACGGCCAGTGGACAAGATTCTAATTACCAGGTATTTCCAATAGCGTTCGCTGTTGTCGATGCAGAGTCTGACAAGACGTGGAGGTGGTTCTTTGAGAAGTTGTTAGAAATTATTCCAGATTCCTCTGATCTTACTATTATCTCGGATAGGCACGGTGGAATTGCCAAAGCTAAAAAGAAATGGTATCCACAGTCAACCACGGTGCATGTCTTGTCCATATCCATAGAAATGTTCACGGTAAATACAAAGGTTACGGTCAGAAAGGGTTGGTCGGAAAGGCTGGAGAAGCGTTCACAGTTTCTAATTTCAAGAAACTATACGCAAGGCTGAAGGATGTTGATTATCGTTGTTGGAAGTACATGGAAAATATCCCTCTTGCGCTGTGGACTAGATCACACTTTTCTGGTCAGAGGTATAATATGACCTCCAGTAACATTGCAGAGTCTCTGAACAATGCACTACTCGCTGCAAGAGACAGTCCAATCGTTGCAATGCTAGAATTTATCAGGCGATTGTTAAGTAGGTGGCTTGAATGCAGAAGAGAGAACATTCAAAAGATGGATGGTGACATTACAGAAGAGGTTGACAAGTTAATGAACCTGCAGCAGCAAAAATCTGCTGCACTATCGGTTCAAGGCATTTCTTTGTGGGAAGTTGAAGTGAGTTCTGAGTTCGGTGTACGGAGGCTTGTTGATCTCCTAAACAAAACATGCTCATGTCTAGAGTTTCAGACATTGAAATACCCTTGCCGACATGCAATGGCCGCGGCTAGGCTTCGTCAAGTGGAGTACAGCAGTTTGGTTGATCCAATTCTTAAGAAATCAATTTGGAGTGAAACATTTTGTGGCAGAATCCTACCAGTGCCCGACCCTGACGACATTTGTATCCCAGCAGAGGTGCGTGACCTTAATATTATGCCACCTAAAGCAAAACGTCCATCAGGAAGGCCTACGACGAAGAGAAAACTTCCAGCAGGAGAATATCCTCAGGTTAGTGAACACTAAACAATTATTTTTTTCCCAGTCATACTGATTACTGATTACTGATTAGTGATATACGCTGTTGCAGGTTGCGAAAAAAAAGAAGCCTAACAAATGCTCGAGATGTGGAAATGCCGGCCATAACCGGGCAAAATGCAAGGAACCATTGGGTTGACCGGGTGTGGCTTTTGTGTGTCTTTTGTTGTGTGTAGGAAAGAGCGAGCCACAATTTTTTGTGTCTGTCTCTTGTTGTTTTTTTTTGTGGGGATCTCGCTTTGTTCTTCAGGATTTGTTTCTAGCGTACACTATGTTTCCCTAGATTTAAACTTGGAAAGGGAAACTTATATTTGTTATGAATTTTATTATCAAATTTATATGGTTTAGGTTTCTTATGTTATATTTGTTATGAAATTTATGATGTTTACTGGACAGGGTGTACACAGTTTGTGTACACCCTTGACGGTGTACACCTCAGCGTTTGTGTACACTGTGATCTCTCTATGTTTTTCGGGTTTGTTTCTTGTGTACACTATGTTTCACTATATTTAAACTTGGAAAGGCATGAACTATGTTATATTTTTTATGAAATCTATGATGTTTAGTGGACAGGGTGTACACAAACTGTGTACACCTGTGACGGTAGACACAGTTTCTGTACACTGTGATGGTGGACAACATCAATCAGTTTACATCATATGGTGTATTCGCATTATGGCTTATGTATAAGTTTACATTTATATGGTGACGCATATAAATTTAGGTGTATGCACGTTATGGGTTTAGTGGAGAATGTACACCTGTGCCGGTGGACACAGTTTGTGTACAGTTTGTGTACAGGGACACAGTTTTTGGACACAGTTTTTGGACAACAACAATCAGTTTACATCATATGGTGTATTCGCATTATGGCTTATGTATAAGTTTACATTTATATGGTGACGCATATAAATTTAGGTGTTTAGACGTTATGGGTTATGTTTAGGGTTTAGGGTTTAGGGCTTAGGGTTTACGATGTAGGGTTTAGGGTTTAGCTTATTAAGGGAATCAACATAATTATCAAAGACATGGTTCTGGATCAAAATAATTATCAAAGACATGGTTCTATAGGAGAGAAAGAAAACATTATCTCGAAAACGGATGATCGTGTCTTTGAATTGACATTGTAGGACAGGAGAGGATGAATACACGGTTTTTTTCAAAAATCAAGTCATTACGTTTTTGAAAATCGCTATAATGAAAACTTCCAGGAATAAACGCGACCCAAAAAAATCTAAGTGGAAACGACAAAAACCTATTAAGTACCTTTTTTGAAACCCGTTGCACCGTTTGACCGACTCGTTTCCCTTGTTTATTTTTTAATGTTTTTCCTGTCGTCCTCTATAAAAACTGTGTCCTGCCTTCTTCAGTGAAACAAGTTTCCGGAGACACAAAAAGTTAATTACAGCAAAAGTTAATTACCCAGAAAATTAATAGTTTCAAAGAATGTACTCTGCCAAAGTGATCTCATTGCAATTGAAGGAAGTGGAGAGGAAAAACAGTCCATGTTTACAGGTATTTGATGGTTCATTTGAAAATAGGGGTTTAGTTTACTTTTAGGGTTGTAGGATCGGTCTTTTACATCGTCTACCTAAATAATGTTTTGCCAATTTCATTAGGACCTGTGGGTGAGGACTTGTATCACTGGGAAGCTATCATAACGGGCCCTAAAGGTTCACCCTATGAGAATGGTGTTTTCAAACTAGACATTCACTTTCCGCTTAACTACCCTTTCGCGCCACCTAGAGTAAGGAATGAAGCATATCATTGGTCTCTCAAATTGCTGTATTTATAGGGTTTTGGATTTAGTCAATAAAGATTTCAATTACTAATAACACTGATTTTTTCAGGTGATGTTCAAAACAAAAGTGTATCACCCAAACGTTACTACTTATGGGAACATTTTACTGAAGATGTTGAACCCAACTCACTTCAGGACCAACAACAGCATCAATGATGTATTTTTACTCATGAAAGAAATAAATCGTGATTGTGTTCTGGTTAATAATCTTAATTCTGTATAAATTAGGGGTTAACTGTGTTTACATGTATATGTAAACAGGTACTGACGGAAATACACCAAATGTTAACTGGACCCCAAATAGGCGAAGGACACTTTTATGTTGAAGAAATTGCTAGGATTTACGTGGAAAACAGGGCTGCTTTTGAAACCACTGCACTTGCGTGGACGGTGGAGCACGCCGGAGGAGCATAAACTCCTGAATTGTAATATTAATTTTGTTTGTTGAATTGTGTATTTTCTTTTGCAAAAAAATAAACTTTATAATAACTTTTTTGTTACCGTGTTTTTCTTGAGAAGTTTATGACTTTATAATAACTTATTTATATCAATTTATGCTTTTGTTAGGATTTCATGAAACAGAAGGGTTAATATTAATTCAAAGATTGTTCATTACATACTAAAAAAGAAATATATGTGTACACTTCATATAGTCTACACATACTCGTGTACACTTCAGAAGGTGTACACCATAAACTAATTTTTAAAGCATTTCGCAGATACGCCTAGCACACCAATATATGAAGCAACCATTGCAAATTACTCGGATCTCAGGTTCGAAATGATCAAATGCACAATCAGGCAGCTTGATGATGTCGTCGTTTCGATATGAAAATGAGTTTGAGTACGTATCCATGTATGCAGTTCCGTAATATGAAATCTCAAGAATTAACTCCTCACCTAATTGTCGCACGCGCTCTGACTGTAGACTTCCGTGATGCGTTGCCAACAGTTGCAATGTTTGGCTTGTGGAACAAGGGTCACCCAAGCAAACGCTGAACATGGCCGACGCCAGGGTCGAGAGAGCGTCGGTGGGAACATTTGGTTCCAGCATGGTCCTACTTGCAATGAGATCTGCGCCTCTGGTTGCAAGTCTCAGGGCTTCCCAGTATCTTGCCTCAGGGTTTCCACTCGCCAAACATTTCAGAAAGAATGGGCGTCTTTCATTTCCAGGGCATATGTCGCTGGGGACAAAGCAAAGGGCATAAATGTTGGAAGATTTGAGGACATCGTCGGTGAAAACAAGCCGGAGGGTGCGCTTTCCAGCGCGCACAAATGGTCCTAGTCGCCAAAATGCTTCACTGCCGAGCCTCTTGAGGATTTCGATAAGAATTTCATCAGGCAAGTCTGGGAGCGACATGTTGGGTTTAGGGTTTCTTATGTTTGGTTTAGGGTTTGTTTTCGCTGGAAATGAGGCAAGTTTTGTTAAGACAAAGCAAAATCATCATATATGGACTTCACTGGTGTGTGGTTGGAGGGTGGAAAATTTATTATACGGTTGAAAATAATATAATAGTGTACTCCCTTTTAGTAAATATTTCACCTAACCGTTTTTTACCCCCAAATTTTTTAGAATAATGGTCAGTTCGCTTTTATTAAAGTGCCCGACACTAGTTACATTTATAATGTAGTGCGACGTGGTTGGGTCAGTTTAGCAGTTATTGAAGTGGCTCTTATCTTTATACCAACCACGAATTAGGACATTTATATATCTATCCACCTTGTCTACAAATAAAGCGAATCAAATGTATTTTTTACCAAAGTTAAACAAAAATGCACTACTTAGACGATGATGTTTTAGGGTTAATAGTAAAGAAAATAGCTAAGGATGATTCCTATAATCTTGGCCCCTTTATTCGCGCAGGAAAACGTGGAAGAGCCATCGCGTTCACCGACAACGTGTTACGGTCTGCAGACATCTCTCGATTGGTTGACTCACCGCTCGACGTATCCCTAAGAGCCCTTACCGCCCATTCTTTGAGCGTTGTCTTGGCGCCTGTAATCCACGAGCTATTTATTTCGAAGCCATTAGAGTTGCCGTGAGTGAGCAAAGATTGTATTCAGTGATTACAATGCTTAACCGACTTGTCCCATGTGATAAACATGCTACTTTTGCATGTGCCATGTTTGAAATTTGCGTCGGTCATCCACGAAGGGCTAAAAAACTCCTCACCTATGTATTCACTCTACACGTCCCTTATGCGGCTTATGAAATGAAGCTGTTAGCGCACGACGTTATACGTCACGTATGGGAGTTCGCACTGGGGCCGTTTCAAGATCCGTGGGTTAGCCTTTGGTCCTTCCCGATCACCGTACAAGAAGAACCTATATCGGAGTGTGTAGATGACCATTACGATGGCACAAATACACCAGACTGCGAGTATTGCCTTCTACAATGCACGGCTCTGCGCATTAGATATTTACTTTAGTTTAGTTATTTTAATTGCAAGTACTTGTTTAATTTTTGTAATAAATTTAAGGGTTTAGGAAGTAAGTGAACATCACTTGACAAACGGGAATGTAACAAGTACCTACTAAGAACTTAACTAGTTGTAACAATGTAACTACTACTTTAATTTTTGTAGTTGGTAAACATCACTTCACAAACTTATTGTGATATTACTTATGTTCAACTACACACTAATTGTCTTACCATTAACTATTTCTCAACAACAACTACCCATAGAATTCAATATATAGTTTCATAAAATTGCGAAGAAAGTTCACCCTACACAAACCCTATAACCTTCCCAAAAAATGGCAGATTTACCAGATTTACCAGATCATATTTTCGAAATCATTGTCAAGAAAGTTGCTGAGTCTGACTGCATCGACCTTGGACCGATTATTCTGGCAGGGACCCGTGGTAGAGACATTGCGTTTTAGCGCGGAAGTACTCAGATCGGCATACCTATGGACCTTGCATGACACACCATCTCGGATATACCCTGGTGGAGTATATCGGCCTTTATTCCTGCGCTGCTTAGCGTCGAGAAATCCACGGGCCATATTGGTCGAAGCTATAAGGTTCGTGTCAACAGAGGAGAAGATCTATACCGCCATGAGGATGCTAAATAAGCTCGTTCCATCAGACGTCTATGCCACTTACCAGCTGTGCCATTTTGCAAATGTGCGTGGGTCGCCCTAACAGAGGGAAAAAACTTCTAAAGATGGTTTTCAGGTACCACTATCGTCATGATTCTCGTGAAATTCTTGAAGTCGCCGAGGAAATAGTATCCTTATTCTGGTCATTTTGCCCACGTAATAAACATACATACAAGAAAAAGTGCAGGTACCCTAGTCTCATTCATGAAGACAACTCTGCGTCGTGCGAAGTG